AACGTCAGAGGCTTTTATAGCCTAGAGCAGAATCATCGATTTGCTGCCTCAGTTGTTTCCACCAAGCGCGCGCCCGAGACTTCTCGTTCTGCGAACGGCCAAATGAAGGTGCACGCCAGAGGGTTTACGGCGAAGGTTCGGAATAGGTTAATGCATGCTCTTATTGGCAACATTATCGAGTACGAGGTGTATACCCCCACCTCCTCTAGAGTTTGGGCGTCCTTTTTTACATTGCCTAATGGAATGATAGTTCTCTCGTACTCCATTAAAGGACGCCAGGTGTGGCTCAGATACCACAGAAGAGGCACTACTAAAGAACTTGAGTTCTCTAGGGGAGAATCTCCGAAGCTGTATGGGCTGCTAAGTCGAGCGGTTGCCTCCAAGGGAGGCGAGCCGGGAAGCTGCTGGACACAATCAGTTGATAGAAAGCTTTGGAAAGAACTGGGGATACAAACAGGCCGACCGCTCTTTAGGCAAAAGCCTGCGGACGAGGACAATTCTCCCGCCTTCTCGTGGAATCCGGCAACGGATCTCACCTCCGAGCAGATAACTCCGGCTCGACGACGACCATTTACCAATGGACAGATTTACCAGTGGTCCGATTCACAAATGGTTTCATGTGACACTGTGTCGGCACCGCCGAGAAAACAGGAATTTAGACTTGAAAACCCCAGGAAAACACCGCACCCATCCTGATCCACGCGGCTACCAAAACCGCGACACCATCGGGTGAACCTCTCGAGGTACCAGGTCCACTCAGGCTAAGGCACGCCGTTTTCAGCAGTGGACTCAGAATAAACGGTCTCGTCGCCAGGATTATAGAGCCTGGAAAACCGCCAACAAAGGGACCACCCTGCGAACTCGCTGGACCAATCCCTGTACCCCCGTACAGTCCACGACCGACCGATTATCGCCGCCTCCAGTCCAAAGTTCGAAAGACACAAAGCACGCCTACCAATTGGCGATATCACCAGCACCCCTCTCCTTTTTCCCTTAAACCGCATACTAAACTTAATATTGCAACTTGGAACATTGAAGGCCTCAAAGAGGTCGCTAAGTATGATCAGATTCTCCTTTTCGCTGAACAACATCACTGTCACTTATTCGCAGTTCAGGAAACCAAGACCGACTCCAGCCATAGCTTTTGCAAATCAGGGTGGGAAATTCTACATTCTAGCACTCCTGCTGGTAAGCACCACGGGGTGGGCTTCTTTATTTCCCTTTTTAGACGACCATACGTCTCGAATTTTCTGGCCCATGGCCCTCGCCTTTGTGAGATCACCATTCACATTATCCCTCACCCCATCACCATTATGTGCGTGTATGTTCCCAGCCAAGTTGAGGATTCCGCGGAGGACCTCAAACGGAAGCAAGATTTTTGGGACTCCCTCGACCATTTGGTCCCTTCCCATACCAATGCAGATCACCTAGTCATCTTGGGCGACCTCAACGCCAGACTCTCTGCCTCCATGGCAAAAGTTGCCCCGGGCCTCGGCCCGCATGTTTGGGGCAGGCGCCAAGCCTTGGACGATCCCGATCGGGACAACGCCGAATATCTCACTGAATTCATGACCTTCTATTCACTCCTTCGCGCTCCCTCTCAGCAGAATCTCTCTTTTTCCAAGCAGGTTGCTTATAAAGAAATGACTTGTGCTGACCCTCTCCTTTCTGATCCCAAAGTTGAAGATTGGGCGGCACGGCGGCACTCGACCATACCTTACTCACTACCTCCCTCTCCAGCTCTTATGTCTTTCAGGGCTCTATTTTTCAGCAACTCATTAACACGCGCCACCTCCCTACGGAACCCTTTACTGTCACTACCCGGAACGACCCCAGCCCGACTCGACGGACAAACTAGATTACTCCCATACTCAAGCTTTCTACAAGGCCCTTGAGGCCGACCTTCTCTCTTCTACCAACAATCAGCTCCCTGACCCGGACCATCCGGCTACCCCACCGCAGATTCATGTAACAGCTTATACCGACGGCTCCTGTCCCAACAATAAGGTTGTCTCTCCTGAGAACCCCGCAGGATGGGGATTTGCGGTTACTAGCTCTTTGATAAAAGAAGAAGCCGCGCAGGATACACAATGGGATCTCTCCTTTGGCCCGGTTAAAACCACGCCCACCGATACGCATGTTCTGCCCGAAATCTGGGGCTCCAACACTGCAGGTGAGCGTAGAGTCACGGCGTAGAGCCTTCATCGGGCTTTTAGATTATCTTCTCTATTACTCTAATCTTCCCTCCTTCTCCGATATCACCATCTATACAGATTCTGAGTATGCGCTGCGAGTGTGATTTTGGGTGACTCTCTTCCCAATGCACATCAGCAGCTTGTTACTCTTGCGTCTTGCGCAGCAATATTATACTGCTTTGCGCACTCTCCATTACGTGACAATTGCCAAGGTTGCCGGCCATTGCGGCGTTATCGGCAATGAACTAGCGGACTCTCTTGCCAAAAAGGGCATTACTGAGTGTGGCTCCTTGGGTAGATTCTCCGGCTCCCGTACGGCGGCGCTTTCTCCTCCCGACATTGGCTACTCCTCTGACGCGTGGTTGTCTCTCTCTCCTGACGCCCAAAACGCCTACCTGTTAGAACTCATTCAGAAACATGTCCCTCTTATTTCCACTTTCCCTGTTTCTCCCAAGAAGCCGTGGATCTCTCCGGATACTTTAGAATGTATCTCCTCCTTCCAAAATAAAACCGATCTCAACGAGCAAGAAGTTAAACAACATCGAAATCGCATCAAGAAACTTGCCAGACGGGACAAGAAACAATTTATATTGTCGAACCTCCAGGAGGATTTTTATGGCTCTGCCATACAACAATGGCGCACAGCGCGCTCCATGAGAAAAGATTTCCGCCCTTCCCCTACTAATTTAGATAACTCTCAAGGTAAACTGGTCTCTAAATCGCACCGGGCAGAATCGTTCGCAGACTGTCTAGCCAATCAGGTTTGGAAGGCTCCTTCTCCGGAAATTTTTCCAGATACTCCCTCTTTTACCGAAATCCCAGAAGCCTCCCGCCCTTTCAATATGGAAGAACTTAGCATTGTTCTCCGCGCGCTCAGAGAGTGCCAGGCTCCAGGCCCTGACGGCGTTCCGGCCGAACTTCTTCAAAATGCCCCTTATATATTTTGGCTCTATTTACTAGACCATTACAACCACTGCTTCGTGACAGGAGAAGCCCCAGCCTCCTGGCTCTATTCCGAAGTTGTCATGCTGGTTAAATATTTCCGGAAAGATACGACGCTCCTTTCCAACTATCGACGTATCTCTCTTTCTAATACAATGTATAAGAAAAATGCTTCGCTCCTTCAGAAACGTTTGGCGGTTCACTTCGATCATCGAGTACGCCATACCCAATTTGGATTTCGTTCCGGTCGCTCCGTTACTCAGCCTATCCACATATTACGTCGTCTTTTGGAGGTTCATGAGAGACAAACAGAACCGTTCCACGCTATTTTCCTTGATTGGGCCAAGGCCTTTGACTCGGTTACATTCTCCGCCATACAGGCCTCTCTTCAGTACATGGGAGTTCCAACCCCCTTTCGGAGGGCCATCTCTTCTCTTTACGACAACCCCACCTTTGCGGTCCGTGACAGTAATCAGCGCTCCGAAAAAGGCACGCAAACAAGGGGGCTCCGTCAAGGGTGCCCCCTCTCCCCTTACTTATTCGGCTTCGTGCTTACTCACGTTTTTGAGGATGTCGAGCGGCATTATACGGCAGAGCACGGCACTATCTTTGGTGTCCTACGCCTGGGCACTACTTTATGGGATTTGGAATATGCGGATGACACGGTTCTCCTGTCCAACTCCTTTTCTCAAGGGCAAACCTTTCTCCATTTAGTGGAGAAAGAAAGTGCCCGACGAGGCCTATATCTCAACTACGACAAATTTGAGCATCTATCCGTTAACTCCCCTCATCGTATTCTATTTGACCCGAATTACCTCCTTTCTCCAGTTGAGGACCTACAAGTTCCACTCTCCGATGCGGTCAAGTACCTTGGAATCTATCTGGATCCACGATCCACTAACCACAAAAACGTATCTACTCGCATTTCTAGAGCGATGGAAGCCTCCAAGAAGCTCGCTCAGCTTATGAAGCATGGTCATCTTCCCCCTGATTGGAAGCTAATGGTATATCGCTCAGTCGTCCAGTCTATTTTGATGTACGCGATGGACAGCCTTCTACTCACCCCCGCACAACTCACCAAGCTCGACTCTATTCACTATAAGTGTTTGCGTAGGATCTTCAAAAATCAAATCCTCTTATTACCATAGGGTTTTTAACCCATCTGCGGCTCCATGCTCTAATCAGTATCTTGCCGAACTGGCTTTCTCTTCCCGACGCGTCATCACTCCCTCTCAGCAGTATTCACAAAATCGCTTGAACCTCCTTGGCCATCTATATCGGCACCCTGAATCGCTTGCAGTCCAATCTACCTTTATGCCTCCAGCAGCTTATCGCCACACCCGAGGCCCTAATAGGGTAGGTAGGCCCAAGACACACTGGGCCGAATCATGTCTAGTGGAAGCCTCCCGTCGTATATTTTACCTACCGTCTGATGCAGCCCCACCACACTCTTATATAGAACACAGCTTTTTCGCCATTCCGACAGCGGCCGGTATTCGACATGAACACTCTTCTCATTCCATGGTATGGATGGACAATACTCCCTTGTATCGCCAAGTCTCGAGCCTTGCCAGAAATAGAGTTTTTTGGGTATCTGTGGTTCACAAACCAAGCCGTAAACCCCACAAGCGCACCTGAAACGGTCGGTGCAGACGGGACCTTCACGGACCCTGCGCTTGCAAAAAAAGAAAGGAGTTTCACAACAGCGTGTGGACGTGGCACATGGAGAGCTGAACCCCCTGCACCTCCGTGCGCTCGGGGGGGGGCCTGTCGGGCAGTGCGGGTGATCCTACCCGCGAAGGACAAGATGCCGATCTCATGCCATCACAAACCACTAAACAGCCACTCTGCAAATCGAGCAGCTCTTGCGAGAGGCCCCCGCTAAAGTGTGGCTTCGTGCAATTCCGAATGTTGGCGAAGAGGTGGTGCACAGCCTTGCGATTGATAGAACTAATCTCCGAGCTGTGAAAGTGACCAAGCCGCTTCGACACCAGATCCCGTGCTGCTGCAAAAAAACCTCGTTCAAAGAGAAGCGCAGGAACATCGAAAGGGTTGTTTGGTATGGTCGATATTGATGACGACACCTTCGGCCCCTCGGTCTGGTCTTCACCAGATTCCGTGCCGCTTTGCGGCACCAATGGGTTCCAAAGCTGCTTGATTTCGGAAAGGAGGGACTCCACATCTGCCAGCCGGTTGCCCACTTCCAAACTGAACAGCGCATCCAAATCCAGTGCAAGGCCACATGCCCTCCGTGGCAGCTGCAAGACCTGAACGTGGCCCTCCGCCCACGCATCCACTGCCTGGTCAAGCAGGTTCCCCACCTCAAGACTGACTTCAGCAAAGCTCTGTAGCCTGAGGACAAGAAAGTCGCGAACATCGGGCTGAAGTGAATCCAAGGCTGCCCGTGTAGCACCTCGAACGGACCAAAGCGGAGTCGAGTCCCGAAAGAAAGGGGTAGGAAATGCTTGCAGCAAGCCCAGAAAGTCACTCTTTCGTTTGTGAATCAGAGGTCTGCACAGCTGCACACCATGGATTTGACGCCAAGCCCACATGCCCTCCACATCTCCGAGCACGTGACCCTTCATCAGATGGTCGAGACGATTCTCGTCCAAATCATCTTGATGGTGTCCGAGTACTACCACTGATTTTTCTGAGTCTGATAGAAGAGCGCGGTACATCTTATATCGAATCTCTTTGGTCGAGCGTTCATAATCCTCCCGGGAAAGGCCACACGTACCATGAACATCAGCGTGGGGACGTGCCAAACGCACCTCGTATATGAAAAGTTCAACTTCAAGATGGTGGCACACCCACGCGGCCCACAGCTGCTCTGCTTCGACTTCCTCTGCCTGTCTGTTTGGATAGGAAAGCATCAGACACGAAATGTGAGGCATATGGAAACGCCGCTTCAAGGCGAGCAACAATAGGAGGTGAGCGGTGCTGTCCACACCACCGGAATACGAGAGCAATACATGGCTCTCCGGTGTCATTAACGAGCGCCTCTTCAATTCACAAAGCAGCTCTTGACACAGCGGGTGAGAAGCGAGTTCATCCCAACAGTCCGAGCGACTGGCCCAGGCAAGACAATTTGGAGACACCAAGCCACCGCTGTCCAAACATGCACTGGCCAAACAAACTGTAGCAAATTCACCAGATGGCCTCGAGCCATCACAAGATGCTTTCCAAGGGGTGTGACTTTCCAAAGCCTCACGAACATAGGCTTCAGACTCCAGCTTCACCAGAACTTCGGCGTTGCGCAGCCGAAATGCATCTACGACGTCCAGGTGGGACGAACTCATCTCGTCGAGGAGATGCTGCGCAGTTCGCACATCATCCAGATCTTGGGTATGTCTCAGGACAAGCGTGAAAAAGCAAACTTGCGCTTCTGTAGCACCGATTGCCTCCATAAGGTCGGCACTCGTCCTTTGAACTTGTAGGATGTTGTCGGCAAGTTCACGCGCAATAGTAGAGCAGTGGGCAATCTGATCCTCGACCTTGCTTGCTTCCTCACTTTTCTGGCCGTTGCATCTGTCCAGCGTTGCACGTTGGTTGCGAGATTGCTGGTCTAGAAATATTGCTAATAGAAATTGCGATGCCAAGTCCAGCCTTTTCAGAAAAGGCCCAGACTCGGTTTCATGAATCCGCTGAGCAGCATGCAGAGGCCCAGAGAATCTCTCGCACAGTTGCTTGAAAAGCTTGCGATCGCGAGGACGCTTTGCTCCAAACCAAAAGCCTTGCACTAAATTTGGCTGTGCTTCGTCCGGAAACCAGGCACCGTGAAATTCGCACACAGCTTCCAACAAAGTGGAAAACTCTCCAGAAACTGCGGCACCAGCCATCCTGCATCAGGATCAAGGCAAGCTGTCCATAAAACGCGGATTAAGTCAAGCGAATCGTGATCCGATAGCAGCTGATAGCAGATGGCGAGCGACAAATCCAAGAAAACACTTCGCACTTTCTTGGAATTCTGACAGCTGTCAGGAGCATGCTGCAGGCGCTGCATGAACCAACCCGAATCAGCTGAGGCAACTCAACGCGTAAGGGTCCGAGGTGCGGACGAGCAAACTTTACACGTTCCTTGTCTTTGCACATGCCACGCTGTCCCCCCAAAGCTGCTGATCTGCTGACAAATTCAACACGCTCGACTCGGCAAATGCAGCCCGGTCACATAGGCTGGCAGCTTGAAGAAGACCAACGTCTTGCCAACTGCCCACGACTGGCCATGCCTAGAAAGGCAACCGCTGTACACCAAACAAAAATTGCCTCTCTCCGCCCCCACCCCCCCCACTGGCATGCTGGCGGCATCTTGACTCATCTCGCAAGTGCTGCGATTTTGCTCTTTATTGCGCTCATGTGCACAGTAATGCCACTAGTTAAGGGCTGTGAAGCTACCTCCACCATTCACCTGACGAGGGTCCCAAGTCTACCCAACCTTTGCTTCTACTGCTTTTGGCCGACGGCTTGGGCTCCCGATGCTGCATCCGGTGTTCTACTGAGGTCCGCTGGAAAAGTCGCGGCCCAGTCCGGCGTGTGAGGGTCCGTGATCCGAGGAAGGGTGAGGGTGTTCCGAAGCATCGCGAGGGATTTGCCACTATTAGCAGCAGCAAAGACCGCTGCTACTCAAACAGCATCCGAAAAGCTGTGAGCCAAGCTACAGTGATCTACAATGGGCTCACCAGTGACATGTTGCCGTTACAATTGCTCTGCAAAGATCTGCATCAATTCACAACCATGTGCCGAGTGAGTGCCAAAGTCTGGTACGAGAAGCGATCAATTGGACAGGACGAAGTTGACTTCCAAAACTGCACTCAGTCTCCAGCTTTGGCTTTGGGATGTTCAATTCTGCATCCAGGTGCTCCAACAACTTCTGGGCCTGCATATGAACTCAAGGTCTCGAGGCACAGGAGCTTTCAGAAACGTATTCGGACGACGCGAAGGCTGGATCTGGCTGGGCTCCAGGCTCGAATCTTGGGGTCCTCTTCACATCCGCGTGCGGTGGAATCACGCCCCCGGTGCTCACATTTTTTCATCCCCAGCTTTCGGTGCCATTGGAGCATCAAACAACTCTCCCTGTCCTGCAAATGCCGAAGCTCCGAGATGACCTTTGGCAAGCCCACAACCTTGTAGTCATCCCAACACTCCTGCACAGCTCAGGTGGGAGGCGAATCTCACACCTTGGTGTTTAACTCCCCGATGTCCTGGTGATTAATCCGGACCGGATAGCCTGCTCGACCTAGGAAAAGAGTCTGCGATCCTTGCTCACCATTCCGACTGGAACCGTCAACTTCTGACCAGTAGGCGCTTCTGATATTCGCTGCAAATTCCACGCCCAAGCACTCCGAAGGGTGCACTCTACTTCAAAAGATGGCGGGCCGAGACCGAATCCGGGTGGGAGAACTGATGCCGAGAGATTCCGAGAACTTCCTGTGGCTTTTTGTTTCGGACCCCCAACCCTTAAGCCTTCTCTAAGCCTTAAGGGTCGGCCTTAAGGCTTAAGACCGAGTTCCACTCTGGTCGAGTAGACGGCCGACAAGAGACGGATTGCGACCAAAGTAAGCGAAAAGCATGCAATCTCAAACTTTTCCGAACAACTGACGTGAAACAGTTAACTGCCAAAACACAAATTGCAAGCATGACGACAAACAAGAAGGGTGCCAGATGGCAATCGGCCAATGCATGGAACGAGACCCCCCAGAGCCTAGACCCTGGCGAACATAAGGCAGGACGAATACCTTCACTGAATCGCGGTTGGAGACTTGCCAGACTCGTACATCAAGCGAGAACATGCGAGAACTGGTCCTCCTGCTGATGCTCTCAGCGACCATAGAGATTAACGGTCGGAGCTGAGCAAGCAAACGAGCTCGAAAAGCCAGCAGATGCTATGTGATAGCGACGCTTCCTTGTCTTCCAAACGAGGCAATTGCGCGAGACTCAGAGCCCAGCTGACTTGGACAACTTGCAAGACACCACCATAGCGCAGCTGCTCGGTGACACCCTGCAAGCCAAGTAGCCAAGTACAATCAACAAGGCCCCATAGGTTGAGCAGACCATGGAAAGCCTTTCTGTCGAAAAGGTCTGGCAGGTTCTGTGGGTTCGGCTTGATGCCTGGGAGAGGAAAGCCCTCATAGAAAGGTTGGCATCACTGCGTGAGCGCATAAGAATGGCTTTGTGCAAAGTGCTGCTCATTCCTATCTCACAAAACCATGCCATAGCTGTAAAGCGCCAAAGGGCATCTGATAAAGTGGGGCTCGGTGAGATCCACGACGTCCTCCAACAATTGAGACAGCTCATTGCTGAAACAACATCAAACAAATTCGCAAACGGCGGCGGCTGGACTGCACACTGGCTGAGCTCGGTGCCATCAGGCTGGAGAGCTGCTCCTTGAACTCTGACGACACCTGCGACTTGCTGGTCGTCAGTAGGGAATGAGGGAATGAGTCATCTGCTTCCGCTGATGCCGGAAACCGGATCACACCAAAACAAAATTGCTGCTCAATTGGCCCTTCGGCTCGACGCCCCGGGAGCAAAAACAGAAAAGCAGAAAGAGAGCGAGAACCAAAGAGAGAGCGAGAGAGAGAGAGAGAGAGAGAGAGAGAGAGAGAGAGAGAGCGAGTCCCAGTCCATGCTTGTAGTGTGGTAGACAGATCCGGAGCGACATTTGTTTCGTATTGTGTGTTTAATCAATACTTGAATTATCATGTGGCACAAAACAGCACGTGTAACAATTCGGCACTTGTTTGATACACAGTCATGACATGGAACTTTGACCTCCTTGAAACTGTTGTTTTCAAGTCGATTATTAGACTTCTACTGTTTCATCATAGACCAAAACTGAATTACCATGCGGCAACAGCATTCCAATCAGACATGTTTGTCGATGCTGTGTACCAATTCCAGCACATCAAAAGCTCATGCTTGGCAAAATCTAATCTCGCAGACAAATCAAATCATTTGCCACTTGTTTGTTGTTGTTTATGTATGCGTTTCTGCAGCTGCAACATGCACAAGCATGCCCTTTAGACTTTAGCAGCCGGAAACCGACAAAAATAATCCCAGCATCCTGCAGTGACAGACTTTTGCACCATATAGGTCCCTATCATGCATTAAAAACATATCACAACACATACTTCGCAGCTAGAAAGCCCTTACTAGCCCGAGCATCCTATAGTCCTAGACTCTAAACACCTGTAAAGTGCATGTATGATCTTCTAGCCCTAGGTCCCGAACCCCGCGTCTTTTCAGGGCCCTGCAGGCAAGCCCGGGGAGAAGGTGAACGAGCTAATGTGCCGTGACGGCGCAGACGACGACGCATGTGCCGTGATGGCGCAGACGACAGCACGAGCGACGAATGTGCCGTGATGGCGCAAGGATGAATTGGGAGAAGATTGAGTAAGAGCATCGTGTTAGAACCCGAAAAGAGGTGAACTATGCCTACCAGCAACCCGGGCCGTACCAGCAACCCCGGCCGTACCAGCGGTACGCCGGCGAAAACGGCGCAGCAGAGCGTGCGTACCACGAACCCGGGTCGTGCCAGCGGTACGCTGCCCAAAACGAAGGTTTGGTCCTGCCTGGGCATTGGCCTGCCCGTTTTGGGGCCGTACCGCTGGTACGGCCCGGGTTCGCGGAACGCCACCAGGCAGCTGGTACGGCTGGGTTTTTGGCCTTTTCGTTCCTTCGCCGAACCGTCTCTTGGGAGGGTCTCGGGGAATCCCCGGCGAAAGCCGGTGTAGGCCTGCCTGGCGACAGCAAGCAAGCCACAGCAACGCGCCAGAGCGTGCGTACCAGCAACCCCGGCCGTACCAGCGGTACGCCGGCGAAAACGGCGCAGCAGAGCGTGCGTACCACGCACCCGGGTCGTGCCAGCGGTACGCTGCCCAAAACGAAGGTTTGGTCGTGCCTGGGCATTGGCCTCCCCGTTTTGGGGCCGTGCCGCTGGTACGGCCCGGGTTCGCGGAACGCCAGCAGGCAGCTGGTACGGCTGGGTTTTTGGCCTTTTCGTTCCTTCGCCGAACCGTCTCTTGGGAGGGTCTCGGGGAATCCCCGGCGAAAGCCGGTGTAGGCCTGCGTGGCGACAGCAAGCAAGCCACAGCAACGCGCCAGAGCGTGCGTACCAGCAACCCCGGCCGTACCAGCGGTACGCCGGCGAAAACGGCGCAGCAGAGCGTGCGTACCACCAACCCAGGTCGTGCCAGCGGTACGCTGCCCAAAAAGGTTTGGTCGTGCCTGGGCATTGGCCCTCCCCGTTTTGGGGCCGTACCGCTGGTACGGCCCGGGTTCGCGGAACGCCAGCAGGCAGCTGGTACGGCTGGGTTTTTGGCCTTTTCGTTCCTTCGCCGAGCCGTCTCTCGGGAGGGTCCCGGGGAATCCCCGGAGACAGCCCTTAATCATTCCCTCTTGGCAACCAGCCTTCTCTCAGCAGCCTGCTGCGGAGCAGCCCCGCGAGAGCAAGCTCATTCCTTGTGCTCCCGTTTATCAGCGACATGACATGCACAGTCATGTTACTCGACACGATACGAAGCACAACTGAAACTTCCCACGTAGTCACCGGACCCGCGAGCCATTAGGGTACGGGTACCCTAATGGCTCGCGGGCCTGCGGGCCAGCAGCCCGGCGAGCCATTAAGGGTTCAGGGCGGCGAGCCATTAGGGTACCGTGTACCCTAATGGCTCGCCGCCTGAACCCTTGATGGCTCGCCGGGCTGCTGGCCCGCAGGCCCGCGAGCCATTAGGGTACCCGTACCCTAATGGCTCGCGGGCCCGCCGGCCGCTGATAAACGGGAGCACAAGGAATGAGCTTGCTCTCGCGGGGCTGCTCCGCAGCAGGCTGCTGAGAGAAGGCTGGTTGCCAAGAGGGAATGATTAAGGGCTTTCTCCGGGGATTCCCCGGGACCCTCCCGAGAGACGGCTCGGCGAAGGAACGAAAAGGCCAAAAACCCAGCCGTACCAGCTGCCTGCTGGCGTTCCGCGAACCCGGGACGTACCAGCGGTACGGCCCCAAAACGGGGAGGCCAATGCCCAGGCACGACCAAACCTTCGTTTTGGGCAGCGTACCGCTGGCACGACCCGGGTTCGTGGTACGCACGCTCTGCTGCGCCGTTTTCGCCGGCGTACCGCTGGTACGGCCGGGGTTGCTGGTACGCACGCTCTGGCGCGTTGCTGTGGCTTGCTTGCTGTCGCCAGGCAGGCCTACACCGGCTTTCGCCGGGGATTCCCCGAGACCCTCCCAAGAGACGGTTCGGCGAAGGAACGAAAAGGCCAAAAACCCAGCCGTACCAGCTGCCTGGTGGCGTTCCGCGAACCCGGGCCGTACCAGCGGTACGGCCCCAAAACGGGCAGGCCAATGCCCAGGCAGGACCAAACCTTCGTTTTGGGCAGCGTACCGCTGGCACGACCCGGGTTCGTGGTACGCACGCTCTGCTGCGCCGTTTTCGCCGGCGTACCGCTGGTACGGCCGGGGTTGCTGGCTGCTGGTATACGGCCCGGGTTGCTGGTAGGCATAGTTCACCTCTTTTCGGGTTCTAACACGATGCTCTTACTCAATCTTCTCCGAATTGATCCTTGCGCCATCACGGCACATTCGTCGCTCGTGCTGTCGTCTGCGCCATCACGGCACATGCGTCGTCGTCTGCGCCGTCACGGCACATTAGCTCGTTCACCTTCTCCCCGGGCTTGCCTGCAGGGCCCTGAAAAGACGCGGGGTTCGGGACCTAGGGCTAGAAGATCATACATGCACTTTACAGGTGTTTAGAGTCTAGGACTATAGGATGCTCGGGCTAGTAAGGGCTTTCTAGCTGCGAAGTATGTGTTGTGATATGTTTTTAATGCATGATAGGGACCTATATGGTGCAAAAGTCTGTCACTGCAGGATGCTGGGATTATTTTTGTCGGTTTCCGGCTGCTAAAGTCTAAAGGGCATGCTTGTGCATGTTGCAGCTGCAGAAACGCATACATAAACAACAACAAACAAGTGGCAAATGATTTGATTTGTCTGCGAGATTAGATTTTGCCAAGCATGAGCTTTTGATGTGCTGGAATTGGTACACAGCATCGACAAACATGTCTGATTGGAATGCTGTTGCCGCATGGTAATTCAGTTTTGGTCTATGATGAAACAGTAGAAGTCTAATAATCGACTTGAAAACAACAGTTTCAAGGAGGTCAAAGTTCCATGTCATGACTGTGTATCAAACAAGTGCCGAATTGTTACACGTGCTGTTTTGTGCCACATGATAATTCAAGTATTGATTAAACACACAATACGAAACAAATGTCGCTCCGGATCTGTCTACCACACTACAAGCATGGACTGGGACTCGCTCTCTCTCTCTCTCTCTCTCTCTCTCTCTCTCGCTCTCTCTTTGGTTCTCGCTCTCTTTCTGCTTTTCTGTTTTTGCTCCCGGGCGTCGAGCCGAAGGGCCAATTGAGCAGCAGTTTTGTTTTGGTGTGATCCGGTTTCCGGCATCAGCGGAAGCAGATGACTCATTCCCTCATTCCCTACTGACGACCAGCAAGGCGATCACTTCATTGCGCACAAGGCCGGCTGCCTTCAATTGGCCACGACGGCCATGCTTCCAACACTTTCATGTTTGTGCTGTCTCGGACGGTTTGTCCGACGATGCAGCCTGCACCTGTTATCCTGCTGAGCATACGGCAGTATACTTCTTCTTTTTGCCGCCCTTGGGCTGATCCTGCAAGCGATTAGAACTGCGCCCGCATGTGCCAGCTGCAATAGAACACGCGAAAGGTCGAACCCTTTTCCCGCAACACCTGCTGCCACGGGAGGTGAGACCTGATCCGTTGGAGTTCAGCAATGGCACCGTGACACCGTACCAAGCCGAAATTACTCAACAATGCCTAGGGGTTTGCCGAGACTTCTGGCACTTCCTGCTCCTTCTTCTTTCGCTGCGTTGCCAAGCTCGGCTGTAGCTGTTATTTCTCGAAGCGCGGCATCATGGCGCCGTGTAGGGGATGGAAGCAGGTAGTCTGTAACATTCAATATCTCCGGATGTTCGGCTATCTCCCTTGGCGTTGCACACATCATCACAGGCACATTGATTCGATACAGTGACCTGCAGTAGAGTACAGGATCCAGACACAAGATCATGTCATAGTGCTTCGGAGCGCTGGAGATTGTCTTCTCGTCCACAACTCCGGTGTCGAAATCCATTCCTTCGAAGCGGCCCTTCCAGTCGATGCCAAACTGGTTCTTGTTGCCCAGGATCAAGACTTTGGCGTGGTTTGCTTTCATGTGTTTCATGAGTTTGAAAGCTCTCTTGTAGTGCATGAGCATGGAATAAGGGTCCATCAGGTAGGACTTGGTGATCTTGTTCGCTACCCGCTTCATGTCGAAACCGGGCAGCGCGGACCTAGTGACCTAGTCCCTAAGCTACTCATGCCCATCTGAGCCATGCAGCTCTGCTACAAAAGGACACGTGGCATGTTCTGGTACTGCACTCTGCAGCCGACCAAACGTTATGCGAGGAAAGTCAGCTCAAGCAACGTCCTCCTCCTTGGCGAAAGCCTCCGCAAATTTGGGGTCCTTGCGGAATAGATTCGCGACAAACCTCAGGGAGCACCCAATCATGCCGGGGGCTGTCAAACCTCATCTGGAGTTGCTTTGCTTCTCGGGTGGGTCGTGGAACGTTTGCCCGCCCCCCCCCCCGCCCGCCGCACAGCATGCGCAAAAGCAAACCAAGCACGCGACTGGTTTGAACTGTTGCCGACGCACTCGATCAGATCCTGGCCAGTCCACGTGTGCAGACACCTCTGCCCATTTGCGGAACACTCATACGAGCAAGCAGCCCGAGTCTCCACCTGCAACACCTTAGGTCTGTTGTCCTCATAACACGTCATGATGTCGGCACCATTTTCCACACCGGCTGTCGAGTCTGCTCAGGTGTCAATGTGAAATTCACCTACAGGGGGTCCTTCTGCATGTTTGAGAAGAGGTCAGCGTAAGCTGAAAAGCTGACGATGCGAACTCGAACCAACCTCATGGAAACCTGGAGACGTGCTGCTATGATCGGCCATGGCTACATGTCTCCTTCGAGCTCATCGAGGAGATCCAGGATGGCATCAGAGTCAGGGTGCAGCATGTCATCGAGATCATCGTTTTGCGGCGGTTCCTGCATCTGTGCAGTCGGACTGACGGGCCCGTCCGCTTTTCCAGGCTCCGAGTGTGGTGATGTCACGGCGTGTCTTGACGAGCTTGGCGACGCAGGGCGGGCGGAGTCGGATTCCGGGGAGTCCTGAACACACGGGCTAGGGGGCACAGACGGAGCTCTCTCTCTCCTTGCAGGTCGGGCCCTTGTGCGCGTAGTGCCTGGCAGCTGGAATGGGCTTGGGGGCGGGACGAGCGGGCCCCGGCGAGGGGATCCTTCCTTCCGTCGAACCTTCGAGGAGGGTGGAAGTTCGGGCGCTTCACCTGATTCTCTTGGCGGCACGACCTTGGCTGCACGCCTCGCCTTGCCGAACCCAGCTGGGACAAAGTCTGCATTACTTCCCGCAGTGTCTGTGAAGCCAGCTCTGAACTTGTGCGAAGCAGAAGCAACTTTCGGACACCATCGCCTGATTCGTGAAACTTTGTGATCAAGATCCCGCCTGAGAAATGCTTGAGGTGTTAAGCCTCTCTTTTTGGAAATCGGCTCCCGGCTTCGAACAGAGGCGGCGAGTCTCTCGACCCAATATTTCTCCTCTTCTTCAGGACTCAAGACTTCCGCAGTTGGCCGATGACATCCCAGCAAACGACTGGTAAGTTTCATGTCTTCCAGAAGCCTGACACAATCTCCCGGAGACGGTAGCCGAACATGGGCAACTGTCGTGTTGGGTATGTAGTCACAATAGACAACTGTCACAGCATGTTCAACGTATTGACGGATGCAAAGTACGTTCTCAGCATCAGAGAACCCAGTCAGTCTCACAAGGCATCCAGGTATCTCGGACCCAGGTGGCTTTCGTCTGGCTCCAGCTTGCGGGGCTTCGGTGGCTTCAGGGTTCAAGTCTACGGGATGCGATGGCTCGGCGTTGCCAGAGTCCTCAGCCACATCCTCGCGCGCGGCTTCTCGCTTAGTGAACGTTGTCTGGAACGATGGGCCTTTGACGGCTCTGTAAAGCGCATTGTAATCACCTTGCTGCAGGAGGCATCATGGAAAGACATGACAAGACTTGTGACTTGATCTCGTGACCGACCTGGCCATGGCTTTTGGGGTGGAAGTTTGAAGCGAAAAGGGGAGTGCAGCCATGTGTCGGCGCTCGCGAAGCCAGTCGGCTTTGAACATCAGCTGCAAGGTCTTTCCGTCGTGACGTTGTGGCCATGTCGAGGGCCATGGAATACCATCGCAGGCAGCAAGTGCTGCCTCGGCGTCCTGCCCGAAAGTCACTTCGTGATGGCTCAAATACATTCAAACACTACACGTCGCACGACCCATGTGTGAATTCCATTCTTTCGCGGAGCCGTACACTAGGACACGCTTTGCTGAGCCTGCTGCTGCTTTTGCTGTGACAACAAAACGTCGACAGCTGTCAATTGACAGACACTAAATGCGTCGAATAGAACAACGGAATCTGCCAGTGGTGGGAAATCCAGGGGTTTCCGTGCATAAATTGTCGCCATCAACCCTGCTGGTCGCTCTCGTGCACGGTCGCCGCTTTTACTATTTGATCCTATTGGACCCACGCTCAGAAGCGGCTCGCCATCTGGAAATATCTGGAACTCTAGACGGGATGCGAACACACATGCAAAGCCTCCAGTGGCCTGTCTTGTGGAGTTTGGAGCAGCCAGCGAAAATTTCCCCGGTTTCGACATGTTTTGACTCCCTCACACTCGGCACTGCCAGGCAGGGACACAGCGACAAATGGGGATGCTTCCACAAATCCTAGCTTCAGCCACCCAAGCAATTCAAGCCAAGCACAAGAAAAGCTTCAGCCAACCTCCAGCCGACTCGAGTACCGCACCTTGTGCAAAGGTGCCCAAACAATTGAAACACTTCACAACACTTCGGTATAAAGGATACCGACATCTTACCCAGACTAGGGTGCCACATGCTTCAAAACAAACAGCTCCGTTGGAACTATTGTCAAAGATTGCCCTGAGCCGGACTGACTCTAAACAAGGTGTACTCAAGCTCTGATGCATGTCGTCCACCCAGCAAAGCCATCCCTCAGTACCCGAGCAGGGTCAACAGATGCAGAATACACCTCGAAGTTTCGGTACCCCTCAGAATTAATGCATTTTACGACAGGTGTTCCACTTTTGCCATGTTGTTCCCCTATGGGCCCATGCTGTGTCAATACTCGCGCGATTTCCCAAGACAAGCGAGTTTCCAGCAAAGCCGCTCTGATGCATTGTGTTGACAAGGGCATGGCATATGAGGTGGAGAAGAAGACAAAGACCACTTGAAGACTGCTCTAGGCAATGAGCTCAACTGCCCACCCCCTAAATGCCCGGGAGGTGGTCGGCTTGGTTCTTGAGAAGGCTACGATAGCCTTCCTGACTTGGCCTGTGAGACTTCCTTGGATCGTGTGCTCTGCGATAGGCCAGTGACAGTACGGGGCCTTCAGGGTAGGAGCCTGAAATGGTGTGTGCCTGTCTGCTTGCGAGGACAGCAGTATAATATCAAAGAGAAGACTGATGCTTCCTGCAGCATCCGGAGAGCTGGTACTTTGAATCTGGCCGTCATTCTTCAGCTACAGTCCCCCGCTGGCTTCATCGACTTTCTGTTGCTCGACTTGTGGCAGGTCAACTTTATTTTGTTCCTGGGCTCTTCCTGGGTGTGCCCAGCACGTGGGCAAGTCGTTTAGACATCACCGTTGGTCTTTACAGCAACGCAGGCCGCAGGCTCCTTCACAGACCCGAACTCGATGAGGCAGAAGCCACGAGGCTCTCCAGTTTCACGGTGGTGCGGAATCTGTACAAACTTCACCTGAACAGCAAACGGACACATAGCCATAGAAGTGCCATCAATGTGCAAAGCACCTACCTCCCCGTGCCGAGAGAAGATCTTCTCAATGTCACGGATGCCGAAGGTTATTGGCAAACCTGTGGAAAGGTGCGGACAGGTCACGTCCCGAGTGAGATCTCCCCTTCAAGCCCCCTCCGGCAAGACAACAGGTCCAAACAGCGCGATGTCTGCTGACTACTCCCAAGTCTTCGATGCTCAGACAACGCTGAATTGACGGACTCACCCGGCAACGTGATCTGAAGGTGCGATTCCTCAACTTGTACCTTGATGCTCCATTAGGGGATGTCGCGTTCCTCTCCCCGGCGGTGGAACAGTTTACCGCCAGCAACATAAGGAGATCACCACCCTCTCTCTCTCAGAGCAGCCTGATGGCACTTCTGTGCCTGCTAACCTGAACCCGATTGCACGCCAAGGAAGCGCAAGCTGCACTCCGCTGCTGCGGCATTCTCGGCGCTGCGAGTTTATTCCGTGCCTGCTACCGTTAAAATCCACTATTGTCAACTGTTGCATGGTCTCGGTCTTTTTGTATGGGCTACGACCTTCCGTATTGAAATTGCTCACCAAGCCGGTTTCACGAGTCACTCTTTGGAGGGCACGATCCTACAGTCTTGCTCAGGTCTGAGTTGCTTCAGGAACTATCACCAATGGTAAAGCACCCCGGCACCACGATTCGCCTTCCACATAGAGCGTCCTGCATACTGGATCGTGTGTATTCGGTGGGAACTTGATGTAATCTCGCCTCCGGCGCAAATCGGAGAGGAGACAAGGTCGCTCGTTGACTAGCCTTTTGACTGCACTCAGCCTGAGAAGCCCCGGCCCCGCTTTAGTCTCGCCTCACTTTAGTGCAATCGGCATTGAGCTCCAAGAGCTGAGACGAACGAGCTGCATCGACGAGCTGGTCGATATCACTGACACCCAAGGCCTCTTTGGCGACAGGGCAGCGTCAGGCCAATTCTAAGAATGCACATGGCTTGAAGCCACGAGGCCTTGATGCGGTTGAATGTCAGCAGCAGCTTCAAGTCCAAATAACCATTATCATTCTCAAGCGTCTGCTTCATGAAACGGTCGCGACGCAGGTTCGAGTCGCTGAAATAAAAGTCCTTACTCACGCATCTGCTCTCAGAAAAATGGATTCGCAGCGCCGTTTCAAGCCGAATCAAGAGATGTCAAGACTCCATTTGTTTTCTCACTTTCTCGAGCGAGCAGGTCTCCTCGTCTTTGCCTCGGCTCTGCTTTGAAGGAACAGCACTCCGTATGCACTGGTGCCACGCTGTTTCGCTAGGAAGCAGGCCCTCGAATAGCTGGTTCTCAACCTCTTTTGCTTTGTCCTTCTTCGGTCGTCGCTTTTGACCCTGTCTGGCACCACCCTTTGGACCACCCTCCTGGCAAACGAGCGGTCAGGCGATAGGACAACACTGACCACACTGACCGTGCAGACACTACCCTGTCGGTCCTGTTTGGACCGACCCTGTGAAGAAGCCCACTCCTGGGGCAAACCCTCTGTGACCTCTCCCCCAGGCCCTGGTGCGAGAACTCTCGGCCTTGCTTGCTTCCACACTGGGTGGGGCTTCACTCGCATTGCTTTTGCGGCGCTTGTGGCGGTTCCGCTTTGCCATGAAATGCGCAGGATCAAACCAACCTTTAGCACATGGGGCAACTGCCCAAAAATCACTGCTGAATCTCCTGTGAGTGAGGTCTAATAGCTTCTGGCGGAAATGGGCAAGCAAAAGCCTTGAATCAAAGACACCTTTGCTATCAGTCAGGGTCGGTATCGCGCAGGTCTGAAGAGCAGCGCATGATAGCTTATACAAGTTGGCTCACAGTCTGGGGAAGCTTTGAGCCATTGGAGCTGCAGGGCTCTGCTCCACAGGAAGACTCAAAATTCGTGTGCCTTCCGGGCAAGCCTTGCCCTGAGCAGATGCAAGAATCATGCAGAGTCAGCATTGCTGAGCTGATCTCGGTTCTTGTCCAAGAAGGAATCCGTGCAGTAGCTGACAGGTCCAGCCTGCCGACAGCACTGGAACACCTCGATGGTAGCAGAAAGAACATTCAAGCTGAAATCGTGACACCAACCATGACAGAGCGACGAAGTGCTTGATGACAAACCTGATCTTGCGCAGGTGTGCATGGACTGGACGGAACAAACAGCTCGGCTGGCAGAAGCTGCACTTCTTACCAAGGCTCCAGGTGGGTTTTGTCTTGATCTCGTCAAACCTGCGGTGGCCTGGATGTATTGATTGCATCGCCCTGCCATGCCCTTGCCCGACCAAGCCTTCTGCTTACAAGCCAAGTCGAAGCTTCACTGCCAGGCCTTTATGCTGTTTGATCAACTTGTTGCAGTAGCCTGCTGCAGTCGCTTCTGCAAGAATGCCGTGACCATGCTGCATGTCGCGGAAGCCATTGGCATGGAAAGCCCCTGTACAGCTCCTGTCGCGCACCTTTTTGACTTTGTACCACGCCGCATAGACGTCACGTCCCACTACAAGACTTGACTGTATCGTATTCCTGGAAGGTGCAAAGCCATGAGCAGGAGTAGCTAATCGAACCTAAAATCCCCAACAGTTAGGGGCAGTACCTTCTGCGGCGCATATCTGCACAAAATCCGTCAAGTCCAGTCGCTCGCAGAAGTTATCCACAAGCTCGGTTTAACTTCCGAGCCCTCCTGTTTCAGCATTGGCTTTGTGTGAACAGCTCGAGTAAACATGCGGGAATGGGCATAGCTCAGATAGCTCAGACACAACTGCCACGTGAAACGTTGGAGGGCCTCCTGATGTACTGTCTTGCCCCCTGACGACTCGCTAGGCAGAGTTGCACGAATGGGCCAGCAAGTTTCTTGCCAACTTGGCTGCCCTGACCACCAGTCTAAGCAAACACTGTCCAAAGCCCTCAGGCCATCAGAATGCCGCATCAAGTGGCCGATTGAAGCCACCACGACGGTTCATGTACTGACGGTACTGGCCTTGATACCACAATCGGTGACAAGTGGACTTCGCGAGTGACGCAAGCGCTGTCAAGGCACGCTTTGTGGCCCGCTTGACATCGCTGAGGTCGCTGGTGCCTGAACCATGTCTATACAAGTACCAGGATGCAGGAATTACGTTGCTCATAATTGCACTGGTACTGAATGCCGAGATCCTCACTGTGGTCTCTGCCTTTGGAGCTATCAAAGGCACTGAACCCCATCATCTTTGACAACATCTGATCCTGCGGGCACTGATGACTTGTCTAGGCCACACCGTCTCAACTGAAGAAGATGAAGAAGGATCAAAGCTGGAGTGTTCTGAGGACCAGAGACGGATGCAAGCACTGGCACGCTGCTTCCTCGGGCATGTCCGTGCTGAGCAAGAACTCCTTCATTTCCTGATGCGACGAATTTCAAACACGCCTGGAAAGGCGTAACGCATCTGAACACTGCAGGCGCCACACTTCACGTGTCCCTCGCCTCCTCGTCATCTGACGACTTTGACTCTGAATCCTCCGACTCAGAGCCTGATTGCAAGTCTCTGCGGCGGCTGCAGCACTGCAGCGGCCAATACCGAGTTGCTGTCCAAGGTGCGGCCACGCTTTGGGGGTGGCTTCCGCTCGGCCGAACGTTCCTTGCGCCTCTCTTTGCTGCGACCGCGGCTGCGACCACGCTCCTGCGAGGATGCTTTGCATTGCCCAACAAGACAAGCAGCAGCAAGGCAAATCCTTTCGTTTGTCATCTTTCCGCGTCTTCTTCTCCTTGCGACGAATGCAAGACAGCATGGATCCGAGTCTATTTTCGCAGTGAAGAAAAGCTGGGACCACCTTGGCACGGCGATCGCTCTCCGAGCTCTCCGAAGAGTCACGACCCTTGCGCCCCATGTCCGGGCGAAGTCACCTGATGTCCAGCAAAACAGATGTGCACACCTGTGGAGACACGACCTCAAGTCGTTCCTCCGAGAAGGACAGAAAATGTACGTATTCTCAAGTCACTTGGTTTTGGTTTGGAGCTCAGAAAAGTTGCGGGTGGTCACGGGCCTGCGAGGCTTCCTATGAACCCGAATTTTGGTTGCTTCAGCCGGACAGGATTTTAAAGGAGCCGCAAATGGAACTGTTGAGCCCGAGCTGGGGACTTGTTTCTGTGCCTCTGTTTCACCTTGGTGAGGCTCCGGGTCAGACGCGTATTTCTGTCTCTAAGTATGCAAAGATCCGGAGAATGCTGAGGCAGGTTGGGCTGAAAATGATAAAGCTGGAATTAAATGCGGGAACCGGCATCCGGGTATAGCAATTGCACTGTTATCGGCTCATTCCATGAAACTGGACCTGCGGCGTGGCAGTTGCCAAGAGCAAGGGTCCCAACAGTTAGCCGGGCATCTAAAAGTTGTGAAAGACGTGTGCTTCAGGCTATGCCTTGGCAGCGCTGGCTTGAACAGAAACGCGGCCCTGTCGCCACTCTGAGCCTCAAGTGGCTGCGGCGGCCACAAGTGGCTGACTTTAACTGCGCCCGCACCCTTGCATGTGCAGTCAATTCCATCACGCACAAACATCGGGAAGGACTGTGGCAGTCGAGCCTTGATCGGACCCATTTGGCACGAGGCACTCTTCATCCAACATGGCCTAACTTGATGCGAGGGCATCGAAGTTGCAAGTTAACGATGCACATGCAAACGGCGGCCCTTTGTTCGGGGGCTGTGCGAAAACACCCGTTCCTTTTCCCGCCAGCAAGTCTACGGAGTCCTGAAGAAAATGTTTGCTGGCCACTCGTCAAACAGGCTCTCGGAACAAAGACCTGCCTGATTGTCTGGGAAATCCAGAGCATCCCATGGAATGTTCTCGCGCCTCAGTCGCCGAGTTCCCGCGTCAACACAGATCCAGTTGATCGGGGCGGGGGAACTGCTGCAGGGCTAAATGAGCATGTCGGCTTTATGCTCCAGCATGCTTCACAGCTGTCGCAGCATGGACGTGAGACGTTCTAGTGAAGCAGGAGATTTGTCACAAGCTGCTGGACGAGGGAAAAGAACACTAGCACGGAAGCCCCACTGCATGTTGCAACCGGCTAAAACTATACAAAGATGCAGCAGTGCTTGCTTTTGCGGTGGTTTCAACCGCAATCTTCTTGCTCTTGATGTTGGTGATTTGAGAGAAGTGGGCATGCAGACTCTTGCACCCGAGATTCACAGGTCGAGCATCATGGTGGGCGACTGCATCTTCATCAATGTACAGATTCAATCGAAGTTCCACCGAGAAGTGGTGAGTAAAGCACGGAAAGACCACGAATCCCCAAGACTGACGCGAATATCAGATGAGGCTGGCACTCGTACAGTTGCTCTTCTAACTTGAAGACGAAGGAATTGAAGAATTGCTGCAGCCTGATTCGAGATTGCTATAGATTGCTCATATGCCGCAGCATGGCAAGGCGGACGACAGCCTTGTCAAAACCACACACACGTGCAGTCTAAGACTCTAAGAGACATGCTGATAGGCTGATGCACAAACTCGACAGATCTCCCTCCAGCCTCTCGTTGGTGAAATTGATGCACAGCCTTGCTGGTAGAATCCCACATAGGGCCCGCCGTCTCTTGCTAGGGAGGACGGCACTTGTCCGTTCGCGTGCTCTTGCTCAGGCTGGCTCTGTTCAAACGAGTTCATCTTAAAGCACTCGAATCCGAAGATGTCCAAAACTCCTGCACCGAATGTTACGGCTGCACATGGAAGCTAAAACAGTGAGTACCGTCCGCTCCTACGAATAGCTTGACGTCGTTGATGTAACCGATAGACAGGTTTGTGCTGTGGACCTTGGCCACATCTGCCGAGAACGTCAAGGAACTGCGTTGCCCTCGCTGCAACACCTGCCTCTGCAACTAAGTGGGATGCGATGAAGTTGAACACGATTCCATACAAAGCCTTCGCCAGTGCATCCCGGTTGTCTGCTGCCTCCCATCAAGTTTTGTCCACAGGAAGCAAGTACTCCGGTTTCCACCCATCGGGTCTGCTGCAGCCTGCCGAACGTTGACGGGGCTGCGGATCTTCTCCGACCGTGTGATGCGTGTCTGGTGGCAGAGCGCTTTCTCCAAATCCTGCTTACAGCACGTCCGCGTGCTTCTTCTGTCGGTCTGTCTTTCTCTCTTTGTGCCTGTCACTGTCTGGCCGCCTGACTGCCTGCCTGCCTACCTGCCTTCCTGCCTAGCTGGGTCGTCGCTGGGACGGTCGGTGGGTCGGTTGGCTGGTTGGTCCGCGTGGGTCAGTGGGTCGGTGAAGTAGCCGAAAATCGTGATAGTATATCTGCGACTGCTGCACGGTCCCCGCTCTGGATGCCCAGCAACTTCTCGGCAGCAGCTAGATTGCTCGCACATTCCTCGGTACGATGAAGCAGGATGCAGCTACTGTAAGTCAAGTCCAGGCATTTCGAGGTTTCTGCACGACAACAGAGCTTTAGCTTAGCGCTACTAGCGCTTTCCCAGCGCAGCTAGCAGCTAAGCCTTGTGCTGCCATGATCATTGATCCCTCGCTGTTGTTTGGAGGTGCCTCGGTACAAAGTTGCCCCTCGCTCCAAGGAGGACAACTCTTTTGCGGCAAAATGCATCACTTTGGGCCGGCGTTGTTCTCTCAAGCCGGGCTGTGACGGCTTCGAAATCCCCATGTTTCGAGGCTCGGCTCGCACGACTCGAACAAGCCACAATCCCAAATATGGAATCGCGACTATCTGTTTCACTGGCAAGTATCGATCCTGGACGAACTTATCGCAGAAAGTACGAGCCACTGTTGGGCTCGAGACGGAGAGTCCGAGGCTCGAGCGTCGAACTTGGAGTTCCCCAGATTCAAGACCGCGGCGATCATGTGGAAAATCTTGCGAGTTGAAAGCTGCCGCAACGCTGTGCAACTGGAGAGAAGAAACGATGCCTACACCTGCACTCTTCCCTGCGGCACCTCCGAGAGATCCTCCTTCTTGATGCCAATCGTTTGCATGGCATGGATGCGACGCTCGAACATCTCCACGTCGTCAACGTCCTCAACTCGACTTCCACAGCAAGCACTTGTGCCAGCCGGCTGCGTTTCTGGAATCCTTCAGTGTTTTGCAGCTCGATCGTGTCAAAAACGCGAAGTTCGAGAGCTCCTCAAAACCTCCGCCCGGGTCATTGCATCCGTGCGTACCAAATTCAAGCTTCCAAGCCTTCCAAATCGATGTCCATCTCTTCTACCACCTGACTGTTTGTGGCGGCTTTAAAGCATTACACGCTCTCTGACTCTCTGCAGAAACGTCGCATGTCAACACACAACCACAACAAAACCTAACGCCCTTTCTGGCCTTCTCTTTCGCCAAGAGTTGCGGGTATCTGTAGGCCTGACTACGGGGGCAAAGTCTTAAGTGTCGTTGCCACATCACCCTCTGAGGACCAGTCCTTGCTACTGCCGAGCTTTGCAGCGGCTGCACCTTGTACGACACGCCAGCAGGAGAGGGCAATAAGAATGGAGCACGAAGGCCAGCACAGGCTTCATAAAAGATATGATAATTTCGCTCTCCTTCCTCCGAGTCGCAGCATGTGACAGGAGTTGCGACGAAAAAGAACGCAAAGCGCCATGCCTGCTGCTCACACACCCGGACTTTCTCGAGCAAGTAGTGTCTGATCCGGGCTCCTTGTTACTGACAGTCCACCGAGGATGTAGGCTTTAATTAGATTCCTTCCGATCCTTGCGGAAGAGCCCACAAACTGATCAAACTGAACATCTGCTGGGAAGGCAATGCGATTGCGCTAGCCGGGCTCTCGACCGCAGAGTCTCAAGCTTTCGCCAGACATGCCCTGGACGGCCTTGATAGCGCAGCAAAAACCCAAACACAGCCCCTCGGGGGAGGAGACATCACTCATCTTGCTTGCAGAACCTGTAAGCACCAAACGCCCTTAACGCCAGAGTCTTGTGAAGGCCGGAACCTGAGTCCCAATGGCCCAACCCCCACATTTGCCCAACTCACGGCTGGCAAGCCTGCAACTGTCCACAGCCAACGTGCTGGACACATTACTGGAGGCTGTTGAAAGGGGCATCTGGCATCTACTGGCCACATCCATCTTTGATCCCTGCCACCAACCGCAAGTTGACAATCAAGCCTGCTCTTTGCCCAAACACTTCCGGCCGACCCTGGCGGCGTGTTGGAGGCGTGTGGAAGTGTGGAAGTGTGGAATGTGGAACTCCCTTCCCTCCTCCTCAAACCCCAACATGTCGGGCTCCGAGAGAGTACCCTCCCTGAAAGACCCGTTGCCGCAGCGTATCCATGCCGGAACCGTGATCACGTCCACTCTGGCGGCTCTGGCGACCCTCGTGCAATGCTCGAAAACCTGCCAAGCTAAACTCTGGTCCGCGATTTTGCGCTGTAAATTACAGCACGCACAAAATGCCAGGCCTGATTTGAAGCCACAATGATCCAGCCAATGCCGCTTAGCACGTAGTCGTTACTGCGTACTTTTCTTGGGATTTAACTGCTTCATTTAGATCCGGTGCGCAGTTCGTAGTGGTGGTTGTTGTAGCTGGTTGTTGGTTGATGGTTGCTGCTTGCTGGTTGTTGTTGGTTGTTCCTGGGTACTTGGGTGCTTGCATGCTTGGATGCTTGGGTGCTTGGGTGCTTGTGTGCTGGGCTGCTGGGTTGCTGGGATGCTGGGATGCCGGGATGCTGGGCTGCTGTCAAGTGGTTCCCGTGGTGCTGGTGCTGGTGGTGCTGGGTGGTGCTGTCTGTGCTGGCGGTGCTGACGATGCTAACACGCTGGCGTGCTGCTGTGCCGGTGTGCTGGCGTGCTGGTGTGCTCGGGTGCTGGTGTTCTGGTGTGCATGGTGTGCTGGCGGTGCTGGCGGTGCTGGCGGTGCTGGCGGTGCTGGCGGTGCTGGCGGTGTTGGCGGTGCTGGATGCTGACAATGGCGTGCTGGTGTGCTGGCGTGCTGGCGTGCTGGCGTGCTGGTGTGCTGGCGTGCTGGTGTTGCCCGGTGTGCTGGTGTGCTGATGGTGCTGGTGGTCTGGTGGCGCTGGTGTGCTGGTGCGCTGGTGCACTGGTGCACAGCTACGCTGGTGCGCGGGTGTAGGTTTTTGCTTGCCGCGGCGGCGGCGGGACCAGGTGTGGGACGTGGGACTTGGCGGCACGCGGAGGCACTCGGGGCGCGGGACATGGCTGTGCGGGGGGGTTCGCCGTGCGACGTGGGACGCGGGTCCTTCTACCGTCGTCCACCTAAAATCTATGGAGGGCCCCCCCCCCGGGGGGAGTGTGGCAAACGACCTGACGCCGACTCCAGATCCCTGAAGCAGCATTGGTTTGTGACGCCGAATTGCGACGCCACATTGCCTGACGCCGAATTGTCCGCGGTTGCTGACGCCTAATAGCTGGTGGCGCCGCATTGGGTCGTGACGCCGGAGTGTGATGCCTCATTACCCGCGGCCCCTGGATTTGATGCCAGAGCCCAAGCCCTGATCTTGCAAATCAAAACTTGTTGCAAAGCTTGATCTCCGAGTGAAGCCTCGGTTCTTCTGATTTTTTGATCTGAAATCTTACAACCCTTCAACGCCGAGGGTGGAGCCTTGGAGGACTGATGGGGCACCTCTGATTCTGTAATCACAAACTCTTACGAAATTTTGAATGAGAAAACTTACAAGCTTTGAACTCCGAGGGTGGAGCCTTTGACAAACCATAAACTCCGAGGGTGGATCCTTGCTCTGATGGGACGCCCCTGATGTTTTCATCAGAATTCTTACAAGCCTTGAGCTCCGAGGGTGGGGCCTTTGACTCGGCCCCCCCTCGTGTAGAAATCAGAACTCCTACAAAACTTTAAACTCCGAGGGTGGATCCTTGCTCTGATGAGGCACCCTTGGTTTTTTAATCAGATTTCTTACAAGCCTTGAGCTCCGAGTGTGGAGCCTTTGACTGATTCGGCAGAACTCCTACAAGCCTTGAACTCCGAGGGTGGAACCTTGCACTGATGGGGTGCCCCTGATTTTTGAATCAGGACTCTTACAAAATTTGAGCTCCGAGGATGGAACCTTGGGCTGATTGGGCACCAAATCACAACTCTTACAAAGCTTGAACACCGAGGATGGAGCTTGAACTGATGGGGAACCCCTGATTTTTAAAATCACAACTTGCACAAAGCTTGAACTCCGAGTGAGGCCTTGGACTGACTGGGCTCCTCTGATTTTGTTAACCAGAACTCCTACAACCCTTGAACGCCGAGGGTGGGGCCTTGGACTGATGGGGCGACCCTCACTCTTCAATCAGAACTCTAACAAAGCTTGAACGCCGAGGATGAAGCCTTGCTCTGATGGGAATCAGAACTCTTACGAACTTTGAACTCCGGTATCGGCGAAAAAGCCTTGGACTGGTTGGGGGGCGCCGCTGATCTAATGAGGACGCCTGTGGTACTTCTGACCGAAGATACAGATTGAGCGGTTGAACCATTTTCATACATGTTCTTCCCTCAATACGGGGTGCGTATGGAGATGGAGCTGGGGAGTGTTGTTGGCCAAACAAGAAATGGACGGTTGGGCGCACGCTATCTCATAATCCGAATTCTTGCACAACCGGATCTCCCAGGATGGAGCCTTGGACTGATGGAGAGCCTCTGCTTTTGACATCAGATTTCCGGCGAAACCCGTGCTCAGTCAAATGTCGTGCGAGTCGTGCATGTGAAGCTGCCCTCGCACTCTGCTCGTGGCCGTTACGTCGTGAAAGCGGCTTGGCGATGCGTCTGCGCATACCTGTGCCGTAGCCTCGCAACGTGTCTCCTGAAGCCGTCTTCGCTACCCCAATGCGTCTTGGCAATGCACCTTTGCCTACCCAGTATGTCTTCGCAATGCGCCTTCGCTTATATCCAAAGTGTCATTGCAATGCATCTGCGCCACCCAGCTTCTCTTCGCAATGCATCTGCGCCACCCAGCTTCTCTTCGCAATGCGTCTTCGCCACCCAATGTGTCTTGGCAATGCGCCTGCACCTCCCAACGCGTCTGCGCCTTCCAATGCGTCTTCACCCAATGCGTCTTCAGAATGTGTCTGCGCCTGCTGATGCGTCTGCGCCTATTAGGTCTTGTTTTGACGGATGCGTCTTCGCAATGCGGATGCGTCTTCAAGTCGTTTGCCACACTCCGCCAGGACGCTGCAATGCATAGATAAACGCCTCATCTATATGTCGGAATTGCCAAATTTTGGGGCGCGTTTAAGGTCCATGGTGAACCGAGATCGCCAAATGAGGGGGCGTGCTTATAAGATATATGATGAACCGGAATCGCCAAACACATTGGGGGGGCGCTTAAGATGTATGGTGAACCGAAATTGTAATCGAAAAATGATGGGGCGTGTTTAAGATAAATGATGAACCGAGATCGCCAAATCAAAATGAGGGGGCGTATTTCAGATATATGATGAACCGGAATCGCCAAATGAGAAGGTGTGTTTAAGATATATGACGAACAGGAATCGCCAAAGGAGGCGGCGTGTTTAAGATCTATGAAGAACCGAAATCGCCAATTGAGCGGGCGATTAACATATGTGATGAACCGGAATCGGCACATGAGGGAGTGTGAGAAAGATATGATGAACCGGAGTCGCCAAACGAGAGGGGACGTGCTGAAGACAGATGATGAAGAGAGATCGCCAAATGCGGAGGCGTGCTTAAGACGTATGATGAGCCGAAGTCGCGACATGAGTGGGCGGTTTGAGACTTATGATGAGTCGACAGAGCAAGTTGAGATCTGAGCCGAGATCGCCATTCGAGGGGGTGTGCTGAATGAACCGGCATCGCCAAGTAAGGGGGCGTGTTTACGACCTATGATGAACCGAGATCGCCAAATGAGGGGGGATGATAGATATATGATGAACCAGTATCTCCAAATGAGGGGAGCGTTTAAGATCTACGAATCTACGATGAACCGAGAGGGCATGTTTAAGATATGTGATGAGACGGACCAAAAGAGGGGTCGGCGTGTTTATGATATATGATGAACCGAAAAAGCCAGATGTGGGAGCACGTTCAAGACGTATGACCGACCGGAATCGCCAAAGGCGGAGGCATGTTTAAGATCTTGATGAACCGAGAGAGCATATTTAAGATATGTGATGAACCAGAATCGCCGAATCAGGGTGTGTGTGTGTGTGTGTGTGTGTGCGTGCGTGCGTGCGTGCGTGCGTGCGTGCGTGCGTGCGTGCGTGCGTGCGTGCGTGCGTGCGTGCGTGCGCGTGCGTGCGTGCGTGCGTGCGTGCGTGCGTGCGTGCGTGCGTGCGTGCGTGCGTGCGTGCGTGCGTGCGTGCGTGCGTGCGTGCGTGCGTTGCGTGCGTGCGTGCGTGCGTGCGTGCGTGCGTGCGTGCGTGCGTGCGTGCGTGCGTGCGTGCGTGCGTGCGTGCGTGCGTGCGTGCGTGCGGGCGTGCGTGCGTGCGTGCGTGCGTGCGTGCGTGCGTGCGTGCGTGCGTGCGTGCGTGCGTGCGTGCGTGCGTGCGTGCGTGCGTGCGTGCGTGCGTGCGTGCGTGCGTGCGTGCGTGCGTGCTTGCGTGCGTGCGGTGCGTGCGTGCGTGCTGCGTCGTGCGTGCGTGCGGTGCGTGCTTCGTGCTTGCGTTGCGTGCGTGCGTGCGTGCGTGCGTGCGTGCGTGCGTGCGTGCGTGCGTGCGTGCGTGCGTGGGTGTGGGTGTGGGTGTGGTGTGTGTGTGTGTGTGTGTGTGTGTGTGTGTGTGTGTGTGTGTGTGTGTGTGTGTGTGTGTGTGTGTGTGTGTGTGTGTGTGTGTGTGTGTGTGTGTGTGTGTGTGTGTGTGTGTGTGTGTGTGTGTGTGTGTGTGTG